AGCAAATAAAAAATTCATATTTGTATGCTATAGCAAAGTTTACATAATTACGCTCCATAGCAAACATAGAAACTGTATAATTACCCATATATATCCAGTTGAAACAAATTGTATAAAACGAAGTGTATAAAACAAGAAAGAGAAAGACACCTGAACAAAGAACTGTATAAAAACAAAGTGTATAAAACGAATTATATTATTATAAGTATATAGAACGATTATATGCAATTTTAATTTGTAAAAAATGAAAAGAGAGAAAGACAAAAGAGACTTGACAAGGAATATACAATTGAATTGAATTGTAAAATGAGAAAGAGAGAAATTAGATACAATTTGAAAATTGTGTAAAACGAGAAAGAGAGAAAGGTAAAAGAAACTGCGCAGGGGAGTATTTTTATTGTATAATTACAAGTGTATAGGACGAAAATATATGTACTTGCATGTGTATATACAATTTTCTCACGCTTTATACAAACAGAAACACAATTTATACATTTCGTTTCTGTTTGTATAAGTGAGAAAGGCGAGGGTGACGAGCGAGATTTGGGAGAGTGACGAGCGACATCTGGAAGAGGGGAGAGAGGGGAACAAAAATATATGTATTTATACATATTTCTCTACTTTATACAATTAGAAATAATTTTTATACACTTGTGTTTGTATAAAAAGTGAGGAAGCGAGCGAGAGACTGGAGGAGAGTGGCAAGCGAGATATTTGGGAGAGAGGCGCCTGACAATTTTTTGTAAACGTTTGCTATGGAGCACTATTAAATCAAACCATAGCTACTACATTTATTTTAGGTTATTAATTTGCTATTTATATACAATTTTTCCCACAAAATATACACCTCCTTTAAATATAAATATATGAGACATCGAGTAAAAATTTTCATTTAGAAATAAGTATCTCAATCAAAGTATGTATATTTTGATTTTGAATCGAAGTAAATGTCGATAGATTTTTTAATTTTGGAAAATTATTTTAACGCTTCATTGAATTTTAAATTTCTTTTTATAGCAATACCAACAATGAATTAATTTTTTCTTTTTACAATAACCTCTTTTTTGAGTTAAAAAATAGAAATAAGGTATTCAAACTAAATTCAAAAAGTGTAAAGAAAATATGTGATGTTATTAAATTTTATATATATATATATATATATATATATTGAATAATTAATATCAAATAGTATTTTTCTATTGAAATAACACATAATAAAACTGAAGAACTAAAGAATAAAACTGAGACATATGGAGAGAGTAAAAATAAAAATTGAGGACAAATTAAAATAATTCTCTATTTATTTGGCCAAAATTGAAATAATGATTCTTATCCATGATTTGATCCAACAAAAGTACAAACTGAAAAAGCGACAAAAATGATTCCACACTCCATTCATCAATTAAAGAAAAGGAGAATCATGCAAGTGGAAGCACATTATTTTTTATAAATAAAATAGGATAAATAAAAAATAGGAGAAACATGGGAGTAGCATGGGCTACATATATATGGAGCTCATATTTTATCTCTCTTAATTTAATTATCTTATTTTAATTTAGCAAAATATAAAGATTTCTTTTTTTAAAAAAAAATTGTAATAATAAATTAACAATATGTATAATATAATAAAATATTATTTAATTTTACAATCTTAAACAAGTTTCAAAATTTAAAAAATATGAATCGATATTATATTGTAGTATGAATCGAACTTTGTGACACGATGTGTTATTTTAATTATTTTAAAAATATCATAAAATATATTTTATACTTATTATACTCTATCTATAACTATTAGGGGTGTGCATTATTTGGATTAAACCAAACTAAATCAAATTGAATTTTAATTTGGATTGATTTTTTGGATTATTGGTTTGATTTTGGATTTATAATTTACTTTGTTTGTTTTTTTTGTTTGGTTTCGTTTTCAGAAAAATGAAAATCGAAAAACCGAAAAAATCAATTTTATATATATATATATATATATATATATATATATATATATATATATAAAATAAGTTGGAGTTAACCAACTTTGTCCCTTTTTAATTATTTTCATTATGATTTAGTTTATTTTCTAATGTTTGAATATTTATAATTGATATACTTTTAAGTATTGTGTTTTACGTTTTACTTGTAATTTATATTTAAAAGTATATTTAAGAAATTTAATTTTTATATATATATATATATATATATATATATATATATATTTATATATATCTATACACACACACTTTTTTTTAAGTTGCAAATAATTTTGTCATGTCCGATTAACCAAGTTGAAAAAATTCAAACCAAAAAGAGAAAAATCAAACCAAACTGAAAAAAACCCAAACAAAAAAGAGAAAAATTAAACCAAATCGAATTTATTTTGATTTGGATTGGGTTACACTTCTTCAAAATCAGAAACCAAAAATCCAAATCGAATAGTATAAAATCGAACCGGAAAATCGAATGCACACCCCTAATAACTATATATTATTAGCATAGATATCTCTGTCTCTCAACTCTTTCCCGTTTTCTTTTTATATGATATACTCCATCCGTCCCATTTTATGTGGCAATATTTAACTTGACACGGAATTTAAGAAATAATGAAAACTTTGAAATATTTATCAAATTTGTCCTTCAAATTCTCTCTCCTCATAAATATATTAGAAAATTAAGTGGGACTAATAAAAGTAAAAGAGAAATTATACCTTTAAATATTTACCATATAAGAAAATGTGACATTCTTTTGAGACTGACCAAAAAGAAAATGATGCCACATAAAATGAGACAATATATATATATCCAAATGAAAAATTATAAATTCTGTTTTTGTTTAGAATAAAGAATATTAGAGAGTAGTTCCATCTTTGCTTTAATTAAAAAAAGTTTTAAAGATTTGTCACATTCCATCTCCACTCGTTGCCAACTTGCCATAATTATTATTTAGGCACCTAATTGGTGGTATATATGCAATGGAATATGAGGCAAGTTTCATCATGTATACATTGAGAGACAAATTTTCATTTGAATACAAAAGGAACCAATATCCAACAAAATTATACACAATAATAATAACTTCTAAAAAATATATATTAAGTCATCATCGAGGGTTGTGAATCCTAAACGTGAGTTAGACTTTATTCATATCATGTCAATTCATGTGCAAAATGTTATATAATTACATGAATCAAGACGTCAAATCAAAAGTTACTAAATCCATAGGATTTGAAAATTGATAGAGAAAGGTAGCATCAAAGTTAGAAGCATGAGTACATATTTAAACCACATTCATCAACTTTTTGTTCAAATATATACTAGTTTCGTGGTGTGTATACGATCGCATGCATTAATACGATGACATTTTTATAATATCTTAACTTCGAATTTTGAGTTTTTAAATAGACAGCTTGTTAAGATTCTAAATGATTATCTTCCTTAATCTTTTATTATTTTCTAGAATTTTAATTGGGAATATTGTGGGATTAACAATTATGTATTCTAGCATTGCAAGTATTGATTATTATCCCAAAATTTAGCTGGTCACTTTTCACCATTCTCTTTATAAGCTTAGAGTCATTTAGACATAGTTGGTTGAAGGCCAAAAATCTTTACTTTGAGAAAAAAAAGTATTTTTATTGAATAATTAATGTTTGACAAATCAGTAAAAGTGTTTAGATAAGAATTTTTCTGTGGTTGGAAAGTACTTACAAATTTCTGTTTTTTTTTTAAAAAAAAAAGAAAGCAGAAGTAGAAACAAAAAATATTTTTCTCAAGACTAAAATATACTTTTTCATATATACATATTTACTAATATATTAATTAATTGCATATTTTAGGTTAAATTTCATTTAATAATTTTATTTTTACACCATAAATTTAATAATTTATTTTATGTTTATGTATTATTTTATATATTATTTTTTAGAATTAGAAAAAGGTAGCGACAATATTTTTATAACATTAGAGCAAAAAAAAAAAAAACAATTAAAGATTTTAACCTCCCAAAGAGGGTGTAATATTGGTTGAAATTTTTTTTAAACATGTAAATTTTAATTTAATAAAATAAAAATTTCATTAATTTCTTTATGACAAATAACTTTTTAAAAATATAAGTTGACTCTCAAAAACTCTTTTTAAAAATGTTAACCAAACATTATTTGTTTATAAAAAATACTTTTCAAATGAATTTTAATCAAACATAAAGTGATTTTTTTTTTTCAAAAAAAAACTTTTCTAAGAAGTCATTTTTAAAAAGTCTTTTTAAAATAAGTTATTTGTAACACTAATACCAAACAAGCTCTTAATATTTTTTAATTATTATAATTTATTTAATTGCATACACAACGTTATGAGTATCTATTTCACCTTATATTTTTTATTTTCTGGCCAAATTTTAACATATTAATAAGCAAACTTTTTTCATAATTTACAATACTTTCTGTATATTTCTTTTATCATCTATTTTTTTAATTTAAGATATCGAATAATGTAATATAATTTAATTTTAAAAGTTAATCAAATTGATTTTTAAAAGATTTAATATAACAATTGAAAATGAATAGACAGTATATAGTTCATTATTTATCCATATACTAATTTTCTTTTACCCTCCCTCAGAGCTTCCTCCCTTTAGTTCCCTTGTTAATCACTCAAAGTAAAAATTGCTTATCCTCCCTTTTGTTCCCTTGTTAATCACCTTCAAATTAAAAGTAAAAATCCTTCAAATTAAAAATAAAGGTTGCTAACCATCAAATCAACTCAAAATTTTGTCCTCCCAAGTGAAAAGTTACAACCAGTAGATAGTAGGGAAATATGACCGTTGCACAACGTTTCTATATTATTAATATTTCTCGCCAAAGCATCGTTTTGTAACTTAAAAATTTACTTTTAGGACTAACACACACACAAACATAGAAGCAAAGAAGTAAAATGGACATATATATTTTGAAATAAATTTGTGAACAACAGTGGAAATTTTAGTTGGTCAAATCAATTCTGTAAGTTTGTCCTCGAATTTGTTGGGTATTTCATGCGGTTGTTTGTTGAGATGTCAGCATACTGATGTTCCCTTTCCCTGGCCACCCATTGTTTTTAATTTTGTTCCATTTGAAGTGAAATTTCTTGACGGTTGAAAAAATGGGAGGGGGCAATGTCAACAATTTAGGGCGGAATTAGCGAGAAGCTCAATTTTGTAGAAGACGGAATATAGGATTGGAGGTCCTCTTGTCTTCCCATGTGAACCTGATAGGGTAATCGGGTGTTTCATCTTGAATTGCAATTATCAAATGCACCAGAAGTTGTTTCTGCTTCGCACAGGCTGGTGTTGTTGCGATTTTCGTCTAATATGCCCTAGGTTTATCATAGTATGTTTTTTCTTGTTGCTCTGCTACAGCAGGGGATGTTTGTTTGCTGATAGAAATGGGAGCCAAGATCAGAATATAAGTGTACACTATGATGGTATCACACACATACAAAAAACATTGTTGTGATCTTGTACCTATTTCTTAGCTAAAAATTGTGTTTTTTCGCAGGGACTTCTCTGGTGGGAAAGAACGGTACACAGAAAAAAGGAGGAGGGATTGGTGGGAGAAAAGCGCTTAATGATATCTCAAACTCGGCAAAGCCCAATATGATTTCTATTGGGAAAGATGTTGATGCCTCTACATAGAAATTGAGTGCAGGAACGAAAGATAACAATTCTAAAGGGTGGCAGGAAAGCATTAGCTGATCTTACAAACTCAAGCAAGTTGACGTCAATTGCAGAAGAGCAAATTCTCCATAATCATCAGAATTGCGTCAAAGCACAGAGAAAGGTGATGGACATGAGTTGCTTTCTGAAGGAAATTGGATTAGATCATGGTACGATCAATGCTGATACTTATATCGTGTTATATCCTTTTCTGAAAATATTTTGCTGATCCAGTTTTCCTTTGGCAGATGATGTCCTCGTGCATCTAGGACCATCTCCACATGCACTAAAACCATCAATGAAGTCGAAGGTATTAGTTGCATTCCTAACACCTTTTCCTCACGTACACATTTAATGTTTCTGTATGTCAAATTCTGATTTGTTAAGTTACATTTTGTTTCTGAAATATAGTCATCAATATATCAGCCAGAAAAGCCCAACGAAACATTATGTCCAAGTGGAAGAGATGCCAGAACCGATGTTTTATGATGAGGTACGTCAATGTGAGCAAAATCGAGCTTGTGCATCTTTTCCCCCTTGTGTTGCATCTCCTAAATCACGATATATCAGCTGGTCGGATGACAGTGTTCTAGATTTTGCATTGATTGGAACACCTATCCATTCAAATCATTGATGGACACTTCTTTGAGCAGAAGAATCACTCGCATCCTATTGAAAATTGTTAAATAGATCCGTTGTAGTCATCAGTCAGTCAGCTGTTTGACTGTTTACGTGTTTAGTTCTTCCTTGCTTCACATTCTATCACCTAGCTTATGCTTTTGTATTCTTTTCCTCCTATTGTTTTTTCTAATTTTTTTGTTCAGGTTAGATTGGATGAATTGTTGCTAGTAGTTGTTTTCTAGACTGTTTCACTTGTCGAGTCTTTTATTAAAAACCAGCAACATGCTTGGCTTTGCTCTCACCATGACTGAAGGTTATTCAAGGAGGGTGAAGGAAGAACATTCTTTCAACCTTTCTAATCCTTCAAAATAATGAATCAACTTAGGTTGGAGTAAGAGAAGAAAAGAATAGGACTACGGTGGATCTAACCTTGCATCTATATAATGTAACATATAACGATACGTATAGTGTACGAAGACCTTATGATAGATCTCAAGATAAGGATTTTCAAAAACAGGTTTGGAATATTACAAGAGTGAAGAAAGGAAAATATCTAAAACCAATAATATTAGGATAAGCAGTAGAGACGAGGGAGAAGATATAGCAGAAAAGATGCTTCAACAATAACCCAGAAAAAAAGAGAACTCGATCCGCTACCGACAGGATATACTGTGGCTGGTGTCCTTCCCTTTAACAGAGTTACTATGAACAGACCACTGCAAGGGGAGTACTTACCCTTCAATATAACCCACCAACAGAGACAGAATCAATATGACCCACTAAAACAAAATTTATTCCATCAAACAACTATTGAGAGAGACAATTTGAATATGTATACTCTTTAGCACCTTGTTCACTTCCGACTTTGAGAAAAACCATGAACACCATCATGGCTGAAGTGACTAGCCTTCAAGCAAGTAACAACAATGGAACTAGTTCAAATGTCAGCCATCATGGTGAAATATCAGAGACATCACGACATAAGTGCTATATTTCATCATATGTTTAACAGTTTGAACAGCTGAGACCATATGCAGTCATCCAAAAACTTATGTTAGCATGTTATCACTCTACAAATTACTCTATACATCATCACAAGTGGAACTCGAGCCAAATAATATATCTACAGTCAGCTTCCATCAATCTTTAATATAAGCAAATATATTGAGAAAGCTAAAGTAATATGAAAGAGATGTAAGCCATATATAATCAAGATGTTCGGAAAGAAGAAGAATAGAACAAGAATCTGGCAAAAATTTCCATGCCATAAAGCTGATTGTTCGGATCTATACACAAAATTGTTTTTGTTTTAATACTAGGACCTGAAGGCTGCCAATGTGGTTCGTATAATTCTAATCAAAGATGAATAATGATCAACAGTTTTTTCTTCTCTTCTTGTTGTTTAACAGTTTCATTGGTTTTAGCTCTGTACTATTGCATAGATCAACGAGCATAAAGGGGTGGAGTTCCTTCCTCTTCCTCTGATGAACATCATTATTATCAGATGATTCAACAAACGGACAGCTGTCCATCCCCTATCAAGGCACTTATTTAGAAAATCTTTTGCCTGTTTGGACAACTTGTCGTCTTGCAAGTCCGGTGATTGCATGAAGAGGATCATTAATTCCAGTGCAATCCCACACTTTCTTCCCAGTAATAATCATCTCAAATACAGTGCATCCGAAAGCCCAAATATCAGCGGGAGCTCCATATTCGTCATCAAGCACAGATTCTGGTGCCATATACATTGGTGTCCCCTTGAGCTTTCTTTTCTTATCCTCATTACCAACCTTGTTTGCGAATCCAAAATCTGCAATTTTGGCGGTCTTTTCAGTACCAACGAGTAGAATATTGCATGAACAAAACCCCTTCCATGAATGGATTTTGAGTATTTTTCAACCTCAAAATCCGGCAATCCTGATTTTTTAGCAATTCGATGGGCTAAACTTCCACCAATAGTACATATTCCAGCAATATATTATAGAGAATATTGTTATCTTCTTCAGTGACATCCGCTCCAAGACATCGAATAATTTGGGAACAATCTTGAAATTGGTTAAGGAATTCTCTGTAACGATTTGGAAGAGGAAAAGAGACAAGATTTGACAGCGATAGAGAAATTCTTGTGTGTAGTTGCTAAAGTGACAATACCTTCGGCCCCTTTTCCAATACTTCTTCCTCTGCTCCATCTAATGGAAGCCATTGAATGTGTTCTCTGTGTTTTTAGGTAATTGGGGTTTTTATATAGCTCTATAATAGGGACGGTGTGTTTCTACTAATATTTATGGGCCGCGTTACTACTAATATTTTTTCGTCATTTTAAAAAGAAATATTCTTATTAAATAAATTTGAGCGAACATCATGTGATTTTTTTTTTTAAATAAAACATGATTAAAGAACAAAATTATTTTTTTAAAAAAATACTCATAATTTTTTTAAAATTAATTAAATAATTAAAAAAGTTTTGAAGTGAAAAGAAATTAAAAGAAATATTTTACAAAGAAAGAAACAAAAAAAATTAAATATATATAAATTTTAATATCAATAAATATGTGTACCAACTAATTATAAAATTATTAATAAAAAAATGACTCATATTCATATTTAATTGGTGTATTTATTCCGTATCAAATGGCGCAATGTTAGGATAACTACTTTTTTTTACCTTAAGAGTTCTTATATTAAAATAAAAAAATGACTCATATTCATATTTAATTGGTGTATTTATTCCATATCAAATGGCGCAATGTTAGGATAATAACTTTTTTTTACCTTAAGAGTTCTTATATTAAAATAAAAAAATGACTCATATTCATATTTAATTGGTGTATTTATTTCATATCAAATGGCGCAATCTTAGGATAATAACTTTTTTTTACCTTAAGAGTTCTTATATTAAACAAGTCTATGAGTGTGTTTGGTATAAAGAAAAACATTTTTTTAATTTTATCATATTTGATTGAAATAAAATTTTTGAAAAATATTTTTTCAAATTGACTCATTTTCCTCAAAATTAACGAAAATGACTTCCCTTCAAAAATCAAGGAAAACATTTTTCAAAATTCTCTTTCAAATTTTAAATTACATTTTTTTGGGAAAACAACAATTTAAAAAAAATCAATTTTAATTTTTCTTTTCCGATCCCTGAACCCCAACCCACCCACCACTTGCCAGCCTCCCTCTCCAACCCCACCCCTCCCCTCAAAAAAATAATTTTATTTTTTAAAAATATTTTCAACTTCAAATTTTAATTTTTAAACTCATATCTCCCTACCAACCCTACCCACCCCGGCCATCCCCCACCCACCCCCACCCTCCAAAAAAATTGATTTTGTTTTTTAAAAATACTATAAAGTTCAAATTTTATTTTTTCACCCTTACCCCTTCCTCCCTGCCCCTTCCCCCACCCCACCCCCACCACCACCCGAAATAAAAATTAATTTTTAAAAAAATTTCAATTTCATAAATTATTTTCTACTCTAGTAAAAATAAAAGATGTCTCTCAAAAATATTTTTCAATCATAAATCAAACACTAAAAATTATTTTCGAAAAAATATTTTCTACTCACTAACCAAACCTGAGAAAATAAGTCCAAAATCTAATTTTTTTCCACGAAAATATTTTTTAGAAAAATATTTTCCATGGAAAACATTTCCTTCATACCAAACACACCCTATATCAAGTCATGAGAGACATTTCAAATGAGTCCAATCTTGGTGGCAACTATGGGAAAAGAATGTTAGAAATGTTAATAAGTTTTCCCACATAGAAAACAAATGGCATAATACATAAATTATTCTTTAATTTGGTTTCAACTCTCATTTATGTCTTTCAATATGAATGTTGATCTTCACTTGTTTAATTTTATACAAATTTATATATCTACTTGTGCACACCCAAAATTGAAAGGCATAAACATCAGTTAAAACCAAATTAAATAATATCATGCCAAAACAAATTGATAAATTTTCTTTTTACTATTTGCGTTGAATAGGTAAGTAAAAACGTGTACTTCTTCCCCCTTTTGAATTAGCAAAAACATAATTAATAGTTCCATTCACAGAAAGCATAATAACTCTCTTTGAGAACAACTCAAAAATACTTCTCAGATGAACTGAATTGACATTCCTTTCATGTTCCAAAACAATCTAAGTCTGAATCAATTCTTCCTTCACTTGACAATTTTGAGCACACAACTTCTCAAGTTCCTCCGCATGTGTACGACAATACCTTCATAACTTTGTCATACTTCAAAACAGCGAGACTTTAACAAATTGATACCAATTGTTGGAATTCCACCCTCCTGAATTCTATAAAGCAACACGTACAGACAACGCGTTTCTGTTTGTTTGAAATTTAACGATAAATAATTTGAGCAACACTTTGTATTATTTATAAAGTTTAAACAATACAACGATCACAAAGCTATGTAATCTAAGGAATTATAAACTCTAATTCCTAGAGGAATTATAAACTCTAATTCCAAGCTAAGAAATTATGAACTCTAATTTCTAGCTACCCAAAGAAACAGACCCCCCCCCCCCCCCCGTTTTATATTTTCTAATGTTTTTCAAGTTCTACAACTTGTTG